TGCTGTGGCTCACGAAGACACGTCCATGTGAAGGGTTCATTCTCCTTGTTGTTCGTTAGGAGCCTGGTTTATGCCGCTGTGTATGAAGGGTGTCAGAACCTGGTGCCTCATGCCTGTGGATGTCCCTTTCCATGTCTTTAGTACATAATGTTGGTATAGTTGGGATTTGGAAGTGTGTTGTGAGACGCAGCATGCCTGTGTTGGCAGTGCTGGTTTAGGGTGTTGTCCTTACCGTGGCCGGGGGTGCTTGCAGGAGTGCTGCAAACTTCTGCCCTTACCTCCCGGAGCCTCCTCAGCAGCCGGATTTGCAGACTGCTTGTTGCAAGGGCCCTGGCCAGTCCGCAGCTTCATTCTGAAGCAGCTTTGGAAGGAGCCGCGTGCCCTGGCACCTGGGATGCCCAGGGGGATGTAACTGCCTGGTGTGGCTGCTGAAGACAGAGTATTGTCAAAGTGTGGCCTTACTCTGGTGAATTCTGCTGGAGTTGCTGGTTTGGAAATGTGTTGTCAATTTTGAAATAGTGGAAATGAAAAAATCTTGTTGCCACTGTTTCTATTACATGAGAAAGCAAGTACCTCCAAGTGTTAAAACCAGGAAGGGAGGTTGAATTAAGTTACCTGCAGCAGACTTCCTCAGGAGAACTAACTACTGAACCTTTATGTGTGTTTGCTCCAGGTTTTAGGATTGCTTTAATAGTGTTGAGATTGCTTATTGCTGTGACTGTCCTTCCCAGGCGGGTGCTGGGCTCCCTGCTGCCCTTTTCTGTGCTGCTCTACAGATGCAGATTTCTTCTTAGGTTCACATTATAATTGATTTTTTGCCCAAATTCCATTTTGTCTTTTACCTTGCATTAGAAATAAATTTTGTAAGTTTAGAATTCACTCTTGCTTTCTTTTATATATCAGGAAAACTTACTAACGTTTTGGAAATTCAAGAGCTTGTGAAAGGAGTTTAATTTTCTTGTAAACTAGAGACTCCTCTTTCCTTGAAGATACTCTATTCTGCTCACTTCTTTCCTTCTGCAAGCTGATGCCCCTTCTCATCCTGTATTTGAGGTGTGACTGCAGAACAGATTGTGTCCTTCTGCGCTGTAAGGTATTGTCAAAGGAAATGAGTGTTTAGTTGCAGCTAAAATGTTGTTTAATCGGTCCATATTGCTTTCTTCTTCTAAATTCCTTGAAAAGGAATGAGGAGAGTAGCTGTTTTTGCTGGGGTGGCAGCAGCAGGAGTGAAAAAGCTGCATTTTAAGAAATACGGGAATGACAGAAGCTTAACAAAAACTGTAAGGCATCTGATGTGTGGTTGTATTTATAAAAACTAGAGAGCACTGACTTGGCTTTCGCCTCCTTCATGTCACCCCATGGTGCAGATGGAGGAATAGGTTAGTCTGTGTTTTGCAGTCAGTTTTGCTGATGGGAGTTGCTTGTCCTTAGAGTTGTTTTGAGTTATTTTTGGGTTACATGAAAGGGGAGTGCAGTGCTTTTGTTGTCCAGTTGGGAGAATCACGAGCAATCCTACGCTGTGTTTACGATGCAGTGGTAAATCCTACCGACACATGTCTAAAATGTGAGTGACGTGCTGATTCTCATGGTGTTTCTTCAGCTTGTGGGAAAGACGGGGCAGCTGGGGAAAACAGTTTTCTATGCAGTTTGAGAGTTGAAAGAACAAGTTGTCTTGTTCACCTAGTAGGAAGGAGACAGTAGAAACCCAGATGTAGCTTAGCGCTTGGATTAAAATGTATTCTTCAGATTTTACCCTTTTTGGGAGGTTTGGATGGAAGTGACTTGCTGCTGAAAAAGACTGGAAGTAGAATGGGATACCTTGTAAAGAAAATGGGTGATTAAATGGTCTGTGTGCAAGATGTGGAGTTTGTAGGCATGGGTGGTGTGCCAAATGCTGAAGCACTGGGGAGAAACAAAGTTTGGCATCTCTGTCCTGAAAGTTCTGATACCCAAAGCCAGTGTTTGACTGTAAGGAAAGCAAGGAGAGACCTTTTGAACACAAGGAAGAGATGCTTTACAGTGAGGGTGGGGAGGCACTGGGACAGGTTGCCCAGAGAAGCTGTGGATGCCCCATCCCTGGGAGTGTCCAAGGCCAGGCTGGACAGGGTTAGGGTTAGGAGCAAACGGAAGGATGCTGAAAAGGTGTCCATGCCCATGGCAAAGAGTGCATTAGATCTCTGTAGGTTCCTTCCAAGCCAAGCCGTTGTGTGTCTCCAGACTCTGCATCTGTAATGAATTTGGCAAAGCAGAGTGGGTACAAGTCCTGTGCGTCCCTGACGCTTTGGTGCAGCTCTTTCACCTGCCGCAGGGACAGCCCAGGTGGGAGAGTCTATACATCCAGGTAGGGTTAAGTGCACAGAATACGCTGCATTGGGCTCGGGCATAGACGGCGTTGGCAGGAGGACTGCTACGGCAGGTTGGAAGAGGAGGTTAGAGTGGGGAATAAGTTAAACACGTGTATACTTTCAGTAAAAGAAAGACTGCAGTTTAATTGAACAACATTCATCTGTAAGTTTGGCTTGTTCAGCCTGGAGAAGGGAAGGCTCCAGGGAGACCTTATAGCACCTTCCAGTGCCTGAAGGGGCTACAAGGAAGCTGGGCGGGACTTTTTACAAGGGCCTGTAGTGACAGGACAAGGGGGAATGGGTTTAAATTGACAGTGGGGAGGATTAGCTTGGACATCAGGAAGGAATTCTTCCCGCAGAGGGTGGGGAGGCACTGGGACAGGTTGCCCAGAGCAGCTGTGGATGCCCCATCCCTGGAAGTGTCCAAGGCCAGGCTGGATGAGGTTGGAGCAACCTGGTCTAGTGGAAGGTGTCCCTGCCTATGGCAGGGGGGGGGGACTAGATGTTCTTTAAGGTCCCTTCCAACCAAACCATTCTGGTTAAGTACATTTTGTTGAGCGCTGCGGCAGCAAACAGCTCTCACACACCGTGTCTTCAGCCTTTTCGGAGGTTCTCTGCCGGTTCAGAAGTGGCAACCTCTGCGCTGGAGCTCCTGGTGTGCCTGGCACAGCAGGGCTGTTATTGGCACATGTCATCTGTCCTAAGATTTGACCTGTTACATGTTAGATGGAGATGTTGATTCTGCTGTCGGTGAGGATGGCTCTGTTGAACATTCCCGTGTTCTTGGACAGACAATATGCAGGTGTATGTGTAAAAGTTTCAGTTCAGGTGGAGAATGCCCCCGCATCAGTGCGTGCTCAGGTCTCAGCCAGCAGCAGCAGCGGGCTGAGGAGCTGGGAGACTCTTTCTGCTGCTGCAAACCCTGCGTTCAGCTGGGGGTTTGAGCGAGAGCCCCTGAAGCAGCAGTGCTGCTGCTCCCAGCTCTGTCAGGCGCCGTGCCTGCCCTCCATCTTGTGCCTGTGCAGGCAGTTGCTCCAAAGGGCCTGTCTTTATTTATTTATTGTCCCGTTAGGCAACTGCTGTGCGCATTGATCTCGCTCTCTGCTGATCTTGGCGCAAAAGCAGGATTACTTTCCTCAACAGCAACTTTGTTAAACAGCTGAATGTAATTTGTCTCTTCTCTGTGGTGTGCTGGGGTTTTTTGTTCTTTTGGTTTGGGTTTTTTTAGAATCTGGGACGAATTTGGCTTTTCAGGTGTGGGGTAGAATTGCTGTTGCTTTCATTTTAATACTTGTCTTCTGTGTAAGCTGTCCAGTTACCCAAATCTGAACCTCAGGTTTAATCTCATTCATACAGGCCTGTTGCGATACGTTTCTGAGTAAACAGATCCTCCTTAAGTTAAAAGGTAAATGGTGAGCACAATTCTGCTTGTCTGTCTTAAAGCAGAGTACACTGCGAGCTGGGAGCTCTTAGATCATTTATGCTTGCTTCATCCTCATCCAGCAGCCTGTTTATTCAGTTATGCAACAGCCTTAAATTCGCACGTCTGCTGGTGGAGTACAGAGTTATCAGCACTTGTGATATATAGGAGACATCGGCTAATCTGATGATTCTTGTTTGTTCTATGGTAATTTCAGACAGATGCAAGTAGTTGTTAATCTTCCAGCCCCCTTAGTTTTAGTCCAACTCCAGCAGGCAAGGCTCATTTATTTTGTTAATTTGCTATGAATGTATTGTTTCTCCCTGTCTGAATTGCATACATCTCAGTCAGCCAGAAGATTTAATTTGAAGATTGTATGCTTGACATCTATGGCACTTGAGCAGAGCTCAAAATTCCCCTTGCCATATGTAGATGCCACGTGGCAGGTGTTTCCTCGGTGAAGCTGGTATATTCAAAATACATCTGCTGAATAGGGCACACTCTTCTTCCTGCCGTCTTCTGAACTTTAGAACAGTCTCCCTTGGATTCATTCAAGCCGAGGATGACCTTCTGTCTCGTTCTCAGGGAGTGCATAACCTTTTTTTCTTTTGATCTGGTAGGAACAATACGCACAGGGCAGGTGCAGTGCCCCAAAACTGTTCACTCTTATTAGTGTTTACAAATAACCTTCATAGCATGGAGAGTCCTCAGCAGTCATTAAATAAGTGAGAAGTGAGAGCTCTTGGCACCTTTTGAGCTATTCTGTCCCTGCCAGCATCAGAACCTCGGTATCTGAAGGCAGGAATTTGTTCTGGATGTGCGGGGCGGTTTTAGAGGTGCCCTCCGAGCTCAGGGGGAAGTCACAGCAACGTTCTGATCAGAACACTGTTTTCTGCTAATGTTTTTCTTGCAAGTCACTCTCATGCTGGGGGGCTGGAGAATGTCAGTTGTATGTGTGTGCTTCCGTGTGTGGGGTCGTGAAGCCTTTGCGAGCGTAAGAGGATTGCGGAGATTGAACCGTTATCTCAGTCGCTGTGTGGCGTTCACCTTAGAGTGTATAAATATTTTGATTATAAAGCATGTATCAGCTTGTGTTTAATGATTGATTCATGTTTAGAAGGGAGACGCTTATGGTTTATGTTTGCATTTTATACTTATTTTAATCATGCTTTGTTTTTTGTTTTTGTTTTTTTGTTTTTTTAATTGCAGCAGCTGTTGCCGGGTAAAAAGTTTTGGGAATCTGATGATTCCAGCAAAGATGGACCAAAAGGGATATTTCTGGGAGATCAGTGGAGAGACAGTGCTTGGGGAACATCAGGTAGCTCAATTATTTACTTAATTTAGTTGGGGTTGAATGCAGAAATGTGCAACACATTTACTCAAAACCGCTGGCCAGTCCGGGTGACACAACTTTTAAAAGATTTTTGAAAACATCTGTTTTACATAAGAGGAAACCAACAGAAATCCCCACGTTGCTTTGTTAAAAGATATCCATAGTTATAAAAAGGTTGTCTGATGTGATCATGTCTACCCTCATGTTTATCTGCTTAAAAATTTTAGATTACCATAAAAATTTCAATTCCAACCTTCTGATGTGTTTTCTGCCTTGGGATGGATTACTTGAAGTTTGTACGAAGATATGAGAGAATAAGATTAGTTAACAAAAAAAGACAACAAGCCAACAACAAAACAACCCACAAAATCCCAGCCCCACAATCTTTTAAATACTAAATCAACCAACCAAAACCTAACAACATTTATCTGTGAAGATTTTTTTTCTTGGATCAGAGCCTGTCCCTTACTTTGAATTTAAGGGGAGAGCGGTCAGGTTGGTTTTAATTAAAAGGCAAAAGAACCACATGCATGTGCTGACTTTGAAATGCTAACCGTTTACTTTTCGTTTTCTGTGCTTTGTGTGTGTAACGAATATGCTCCCAAACACTGCTGAGGGTCTCGTGCGGTTTCCAACCGGCGCAGCACTGCAGCTCCAGGCGAGGTGTGATTTAGGGGAACTTCACTGTTTGGGGTGTTTTTCCTGCCAAAAATATCCATTATTACAGTGAAGGTATTGGGATAGTGATGAGGGCATTTTTATTATTTAAGTTTCAGAATGGCTGTGAAAAGGGGTAAAGCTTCTCAAAATCTACTGGGCTGAATCTTGCAGTCTGGCTGGGTCCTGTGGAGGTTTTGGGGAGCTGCTGCCTCCAGCTGTCTGACTTGCCTGTCCGCAGTGGGTCTCCGTAGCCGGCTCCCAACCCTTAGCAGCAGTTTGGGCCTGGGTGTGTTGATGTGAACTGAAGCTGTGAGGGTGAGTTAAAGGGCTGAGCCAGACTGCACAGCAGTGTTTCTCCTCTGCTGCCTCTGCGGTCGGGCTGTTTATTCCCACCAGACAGGCAGGGTAGACATCTGGGGGAGGTCACCTCCTGCCCTGGCTGATCACAAATCTCCATGAGTCAAAGCCCTTCGTCTCATCTCTTCCTTTGTTTATTCGCAATTAATCCTGTGCACCTTGGAGCCTTTATTCCTGAGCCATGGCCTGGGATGGTGTCTCTGAGTCAGGGAAGTCATAGTTTCCCCTTTTGCTCATCTAAAATGAAGAGAACAGCCATGGTCTGTGCAGCGGCTCAAGGTTGCGGCCCCAAGGAGTGCAACTTGGAGGTGGGTGTGGAAGTGTCCGTGGCCAGATGACTAGTTTGTTCCCTGAGCAGTGGAATGGATGAAGTCTGGTTTTCTGTAAGATGCTCTTCACTCCATCCACTTTCCTTTCTCTGTCCACAGTATGCACTGCAGTCCTCCCAGATGGCTTTGGTTCATCACTACTCCACCTTGAAGTTGTAGTTTTAAAGCATTTAAAGCCAGCACCACTAAAAGAAGCAGTCCTGTCTGATGCAGGCCACTCCTTTCTTCCCCTACTGGGAGTCCTGCAGCAGTGCAGTGAAACCTGGGGAATTGGCCTGGGTTAAAACTAGCTTTTATATTTTCTTCATTAACTTTATCCCGGAAAAGTCTCCCCAGTCCACTTCACTTTGTGGCCACATAGATGCTTGTGCTGGCTTGAGAGAGCAGGCAGGAAGGTGTAGCCAGGAGCAATGACAGATGAAATTGCTTCGTTTGCCTGCTTTTGCCTGCTTTGTAAGGAAGCTCCAGTATCAGTATCGTTGCATGTCCCTTCCACCAGCCCCAGCAGCTGCTGTATCTGCTGCCGAGTATTTTTGACTCGCTGACCATTGCCAGCCTGAGCAGGCAGGAGCAGAGAACTCCTTCCTTTCCCTCGCTGGGGATGTAGGGCCACTTTATCCTGCCGGGCAGCAAGTTTGGCAGAGCTCGTAAGGACGTGGAGACACCTGTCCTTTGCTCTGTTCCAGCTGGATCTCAAACCTGCACGCTGCAGGGGTGGTACAGGGATGGGGCTGATGCAGGCCAGGGGATGAGGAAGAAATGAAGGTCTCACAAACTTTTTCTTGAGGAAGTAGCATCTGAGAGAACCTCTGATGGTGACGTGAATATGGCAGTTCATATGACCAAGAAAGCAAATGGTGTAACAGTAGGATGATGTTTCAAACGACTAGCCAAGACTGTTCACTGTGCTAATGCAAGAGTTTTACAAAAACTAAAAACTAGAACTTTGGTTTTAAATTACAACCTTTACTTAGAGAACTAGATTTCTGAAATTTTATGATTTTAGACTTTAAATGTAGTTACTGCTTGTAGGTTTACAGGTTCTGGTATTTCAAAATTGAGGAAGTTGTCCTGCTTTTTCTAATGGACATCATAGAGTCAAAACACTGGCACTCCTTAGTACAATTAAGACCCTAGAGAGAACGTATTTAATGACTTGCCTCCTTTAATAGTTGGATCTACTTATAAGAATTACACATGTTTTTGTTCCAGATCACTCTGTTTCCCAACCAATTATGGTTCAGAGAAGACCTGGTCAGGGGTTTCATGTGAATAGTGAAGTCAACTCAGTGCTTTCACCACGGTCAGAGAGTGGAGGACTTGGAGTTAGCATGGTGGAGTATGTGTTGAGCTCATCTCCTGGAGATTCCTGCCTAAGGAAAGGAGGATTTGTAAGTGTGCCTGAATCTGACATTTTGAGTTCCCATTATGTTATTTTCTCCATTTGCTGCTTGTTTTGTTTGTTTGTTAATCCATTCCTAAAGGCAGATGTTTCTTCTTTCTTTTATTTGCTCTTAGTTTAGCTATCTCTCTTAGAACGGGTAGGCTAGCAGTTTAGCTGGTGTTCTTGACTCTGGGGATGCAGTGTGGGAGATGGGTGTAAAGGCTGCGAAGGTTGCTGACATCCCCTGGGTAAGCACGCTGGTAGTAACACCCCATCTGAGCTTGTCGATGGAAAAGTATGCAAATAGACCTGTGGTTTTTGAATGAGCGTGTGGCTGCTTTGTTGCTGGTCAAGAACAAAAAGCTCCATGTAGTGATGCTCGAAACCTAACGTAGCTACAGAGCCACTCAGCTGGGGAATGCTTTCAGGGGCATAGCGTTTCCTGGGGAGAGCTGGCGTTAGTCACTGTGCTTCGTGGGGTGGGGAAGGGAGAGCAGTTGCTGCTGCCTCCAGTCTAAGGATGTGGTGAGAGAGGCATAATCGAGCCCTAGCCCTGTAGTGGGGAAAAAGGGGCTGCATCTCATCTCTACCTCACTGGCCATGTGCTAGGTCAGGAATTGCAGAAAAACATGAAAGCAGAGTAGGTTTGTTACCGTTCGACTGCTGTGCTCATCTCTTCAGGGAGCTGATTTGTGGTTTCCTTCATCCATCCTCTTATTAGGTCCCTCATTAGTGGGTACCTGATAACCTTGTTGAACCCTGAGCCTAAGACATGATTTTTGAGAAATGAACAGTCAGTGGAAGGAGCCAATTTATTATCCGAACTGGGGATTAGAGAGGTGTCCGCTCCACAGCAGTGATAGTCAGGAGGCCAGCTCTGAAACAAAGGGTCTCGCTGGTGGATGCCACGTTGTGCGGGTGAGAATTGCCTCCACATTTGTTTTGACAATTGGCATTTCCAAGTCTGCTCTTTCATATTAAGGCAGCACGATCTTATTTGCTTTAAGAAGCAGCATCAGCAGATGATTGCTCTTAAACCAGTCTTTTTTCCTAAATACGGAGGGGATTTCCACCACACGCACACACACCCCCCACACTTAAATGGAAGAATGATTTAGTTGGTACAGAAATGAAGTAGTTGATACAGGGTTCAAATGCCCTGTTATGCAGGGAGTCCTTTTCCCTCAAATGAAGACATGGTTAGAATGTCTGTCTTTGTGACAGCACCAAAGCTGTCTCTGATAAATATGTTTATATGCCCCTTGCTGGGTTTTATCATAAATTATGTTGTTTTTCTTCTCCCTTTTGTTGTTCAAAACTCTGCCCCTGGCATAATCACCCTTTATTCTTTTCCCAAGTGAAATTAAATGCAGACATTAAGGGCAGAAATGCTGCAGATGTAATACCACTCACAAAGTGATCAGCAGAACAGAAATCCTTGTTGCCTCTTTGTTTTTTCCTTCTTTTTTTCCTTCCTTTACCTCTTCAAAAAATGGGCTTTAGGAGTTTATGAACCAGTGATTGAACTGGTGCTTGCCTTGAGTGCTCTTAAGTGGGCGGTACCTTGGAATTCACTGTGGAAGTCACACCAATGCCCCCCCAAACCGAGGGGATCCTGTGCTGCTCCAGCGCAAGCACTTGTCCCGACAGTGGCTGCAGCTGTGACACGGAGATGGTGACCGCCCATGAGGCACCAATTCAGTTTATGCCCCTTCAGTACACGCTGCCGTGTTTAGAAGTTCCTGAGGTAATTTTTGAAGTGCTCAAGTACCATCTAGAAAGAGAACGTGGATAAGTAGTCTTTAATATTATTTTGGGGTGGGATTTTTAAAACCTATAGAAGCAGACCCTGAATTATTAAATGGAAGAAACTGGATAGATAGATAGATAGATAGATAGAAAGAACCTCTCTTGGAACAGCGAGAACCAATTCCCTTCTTTCTTTGATTATGATTGACTATTCTGCTTTTTTACATTTTTATTTGTATGAACTAATGTTTGCTAGTGACTTACTTTATTGTGACATGTTTCTTTGATTTGATACCATCTCGGACTAAAAATAAAATTGATCTGAAAACTAAGCTTATTAAAATACTGTCTCTTTTGCCTAGGGGCCAAGGGATGCAGAGAATGATGAGAATGACAAAGGGGATAAGAAAAATAAGGGCACATTTGATGGCGATAAATTAGGAGATCTGAAGGAGGAGGGGGATGTGATGGATAAAACAAATGGTTTGCCTGTGCAGAATGGAATCGACGCAGATGTCAAAGACTTCAGGTATGTGCACCATTAGTTAATAATTAATCAGTGTCACACTTCACATTTTTTGAAAGATTTTCCATGCTGTAGTGAAAAAGCCTTTGTCTCACTGAAACGGTGTCACGAGGATGTTATAATGTACACAGGGAAGCACTGAGAAGGCGGAGGAGAACACCTGACCGCTCTAGTTTCTGCAGACCCATGTTGTAATTTTATGCTGTTCTCACACCTCCTTTCCAATTACTCTGTGTGGGATTCCCATGGAAGTACCTACTGAAGGTGCCAACTCTGCCTATATACTCGTCTGAATTCTGGTTGGGGTTTTGGACTTGTTCCTTGCAGCTCTCAAGAGATTAAAGCCTTCTGAAATTGTGGCTACTGATGTAATCAATGCATTTGTATTCCTTGCCAGCTTACCCACTTGCTGTGCCTCATGTTGACATGTAGGAAAACTGTAAAAGCAAAACAAATGTGCTGCGAGGCACGTACTGCTGCCCCTTGCATCGGGATGAACCATTTCCCACTCGAGTCTAATGCTTATGTTCTATAATTAGGCAACATGGCAGCTACTTTAGAAAGGTTTCAAGTGAGATACAGAGCCAGAGTGTCACACAGTTAATAATTACCGAATAGCTTTATGAAAACATAAGCTTTGGCAGCTCTGAAGTCCTGTCTTGTTATGACTGACTCTCTCAGTTTAGGAGAAAAAAGGAAATTGAATTTTTTTATGCTCGTACTGTAACAGGTCTTTGAGGCAGGGGGACTGGGGTTTGGTGGGTGTGTGGTTTTTTAAATACATAAATTGAATGAAGAATTTATTTAAGGAACTATTTGAGACAGACCTTTAATTTTTTTCCCTTTATCACAACATCTACGAGCAGTTCTGCTGAGTGCTGGTGTCTGCTGCTGTTAACAGCTGCTGTGTGACATAGCATTAGGTGGATGTGCGTAGTGACGAGTATCTTCTCTTTCTGCACAGCCGTACGCCCGGGAATTGCCAGAACTCTGCTAGTGAAGTAGATCTTCTGGGTCCAAACCAAAATGGATCAGAGGGCTTAGCCCAGCTGGCAAGTACTAATGGTGCCAAGCCAGTGGAGGATTTCTCCAATATCGAGTCCCAGAGTGTCCCTCTGGATCCCATGGAGCACGTTGGCATGGAGCCTCTTCAGTTTGATTATTCCGGCACTCAAGTACCCGTGGACTCGGCCGCAGCCACCGTGGGGCTCTTCGATTACAGCTCCCAACAGCAGGTAAGTGTCAGCCGTGGTCCGGCCTGACTGCTCCGGATCCTCCAGAAGGGTCGTTGTGGGTTACCATGAGCTCAGCCCCTGCCTTGGGGAGAGGGGCAGAGGAAGGCTTGGAACGGTTTCATCATCTCTCTGCCATTCACAGAGTTCTGCGTGTGTCCTAGGGAGCTCGAGGCAGGAGATCCGCGTAACATGCCTGTCTCCACAGCAGTCTGAGACCTGTTAGCAGCAGCACTGCTCTGTCTGTTAGTCATTTTTAGCTTGAGTAAGTTTGCACTGGGGAGAGCTTTGAATAACTAAAAACTGCTAAACAGCAGCAAAACAGCCCACCCTGGAGCCCTTAAAGCCACGTAAAAGTCAACTGCCTGTTCAGCCTCGGTGTTGCAGCCCTGCTTTGGGATCCCAGTGCTGAACCAGAACAGGTGGAGGGAATAATGGTTTGAACTAGCTCACTCGTACTTGAGCACGGTGTAAAACCTGAGGCCAGAGTCCAATACTACAGAACTTTATCTCAGCCCAGCGAGTTTGTTTGACCTTTTCTCCCACACACGTGGCCCACGCTACTCATCCTGGGCAAGTAACCGAAGTCCCTGCTTTGGTTTTGGCTTCCCTTGAATGCTGGGCCTAGATCCAGCGATCAACACGTAATCCGCTCCTGTTCCTGCTAGTTTGGGTAACAATTGTAAACGTTTATTGCTTTCCTTTTGTAAGTACTATACCCCTCAAAGAAGAATAAAATCCTTTGTTGCAGGCTCATTGCAAGAGTGTGTAACTAGCCCTGGGTTTCCTGAAACGTCTGATTGTTTTTAGTGAAGTTGCCTGTTGGCTCTCTGGCTTGAGGAAAGACCATTGCCAAGTTTGTGCTAAAGGCCCACCTTCAGAGAGTTATCACAGTCTTAAAAGAAATGTAAATATCTGTGTTATAGCTTAATCAGCTATTTCATTATATAGCATGTTTAGGAGGCTAATGATGGAAAACTTTTTAATGATTAAACTAAACTGCTGCTGTGTAGTTCAGAAGGGGGGCAGGAAGCTAGTTTGAAGTCTTTGTCTTACTCTGTGGTGTAGGACCTTGAATGCCAGAATTAGTTTTGAACAATGAAGCCAGTGTATTTTTTTTAACACGGTGTGTTGGAGCTAGCTAAGTGAACTCCTTTTGAACGAACCATTAGGTATGGGAAGGATAACGGCAGGAATGTGAAGCCTGTAATGTGTATTTTGTCTGCTAGTGTATTTTATTCAAATTAAGGCTCATTTATATCTTCAAGTATTTTTTATTTGTTTCTTTCAGCCTTTAAAGAATAGGATTTACAGTTTGGTATGACTTGTGCCTAGCTAGAAATAACACCTCTTGAAGGAAGGCCGGCCTGCAAAGCGTGCTGATGGCAGACGTGGTGCGGTATGGCATCCTGGCTCTGGCTGGCCCTGCAGACAGGCCTGCTTGGGGTGGTTTTTTTTCTTTCTATGAAGTGGATGGGTAATACCCATGTAGAGCTGATGCCATCTCCATGTAATCATACTTCAGTGTTTCTGCTGGGTTGCCTGTGAAGCCGCAGTTCTCTCATCTCCTTGAACTACGAATTTTGGGGGGGAGCAGGAGGTCCTGGCGCTGTGAGCACAGCTCTGTGCCCAACACTTGCTCTGGCCTGTTTACCTCCCACCCAGGCCGTGCTGAGAATAAGCAGGCCAGTCTGTTAAATGACTGTTATTTTAGTTTCAGCTTTGTTGTAATAGCTCCTTACACTTCGAAAAGCCTGCTGTTTGCATTTACTGTAGGTGTAAGTGCTGTACTAAAGATAAGGATTCACTCTTCTGCCAGATGTGAGCTCTCAGTGCATGCTCGTGTAAATGCAGTGTACCTTGGCTCAGAGTTGTGCCCCTTTTCCTAGTATATAGTATATCCAGCAACCAGTGTTGGTTTTCTGTTTGGTATTCACTGTCTGCCAGTTACAGCCTGTATGAGAGAAATGTGTCTTTTGGCGATACAGCTCTTCCCATTCAGTTGTCAGAAGGAAATATGTCCTGAGCGAAAGGATCTCGTCTGTAAAAGTGTCTTTGTCTGTCTGTTGGGAAGCGTCATATACTTTGAAGGGATTACAAGCAAGTACAGCTAAAAGCAATATTAAGAAGGGAAGGTCTTAACCACGTGTAATCTGATTAGAGATGTCAGATGTTTATATTGCAGCAGAAACTGGCTTACAGAAATCTAATCTTCTAGTGTTCCCATAACCATGTAATACAGACTGCCATGTTCTGGTTTCCTGGAATTCCCTCGATGAACTCCCCCGCGTGTTGTAAATGATACTTCATTTGTGCACACGTGAGGGAGGGGAAGACAGCCTCGCTTTTGACATGTCGGGTGATCCTGCTGAGCTGTACCGAAACTGTGTCAGTAGTTAGCAGGTTTTCACTCTGAGTGTCATTTCTAGTAGGCCACAACGCTCTGTGCATACTTTCTTGAAACTTCAGCCTCGCTTTGTTAATTCTAGTTAATATTCTTGTTAAAAAGGTTTCTTTTCCTTTTGCCATGTACTGGAGACCACAATTTAGTACCGACACGTAGTTTTCTGGAATGTAGGTGTTTGCTGTCAGCAGATGGAGACAGTGCATAGAAGCTTTAATAACTTCCTAAATACACAGAGTTGATTCCCAGAGCTCATGTGGCGTAGGGGCTTATCTGGCTAAGTAAAGCCTGAAATGGTGATTGTTTTTGTTGGCTCCGCTTCCTTATATGTGCTACAGGCAGTAGGAAATCTGCAGCTGCAAAAAGTTGTAGCTGTTCACACTAAGTTTCTTCCAGGTCAGCTGAGTCTAGAGCCTGGGTTTGCAGGCTGGCAGAAACTGCGGCTGAAAGCGGGCAGAGGGTGAGGTTGCTGATTTGAGTCACTGCCTGAGCTCACGGCTTAGACACCCGCATTTATCTGACCTTTCTTTGGAAGGGAAGCTCCATAAAGATTTGAGAGGAGGTCTGCTGCACGCAGAAGGAATCCAGTCCTCAGGCTGGCAGCCCAGCGTGAATGCAGAGCGCTTGCATGTGGTTTTAAAGAATCACAGGAATATTGTCTGAGGAAGTAATCGTCACTGCGTTGGAGCTAAGGCTTTAGTTTTCTTTGACTTGAGGATACAAACACTCAGTGATTTTCATCAGCAGATGAAAGGACTCTGCCCAGCCACTCTGTTCCGTATTCCTCCCTTCTGTAATACCAGTAATTTTAGGCAAAGGAGCATCTTTTCAGTCTCCCTCTTTGAGTCTTTAGGTAAACTCTAACAGCTGCTTACAGCAGCCATTTGCAGAGCGTTTTAGATACTGTGGCTTAATTTCAGCAAAAGGAAGATGCACAAAGCTGGTGTGGGTACTTAGAATCACAGAATCATTTATGTTGGAAAAGACCCTTAAGATCATCGAGTCCAACTGGTAACGCAGCACTGCCAAATCCACCACTAAAACATGTCCCTGAGCACCCACATCTACATGTCTCAAACCCCTCTGAGATGGTGACTCCCCCTGCCCCCCTGGAAGGGGCAGCCCCTTCCCATGCCTGACAGCCCTTTGCTGAAGGAATTTCCCTAATATCCAACCTAAACCTCCCCTGGCACAACTTGAGGCCGTTCCCTCTTGTGCCATCACTTGGGAGAAGAGACCATCCCCCCCTCTCCGCACCCTCCTTTCAGGGAGGTGTAGGGAGCGATAAGGGCTGCCCTGAGCCTCCTCTTCTCCAGGCTGAACCCCCCAGCTCCCTCAGCTGCTCCTCACAGGAATTGTGCTCCAGCCCCTTCCCCAGCTCCGTTCCCTTGTCTGCACATGCTCCAGCCCCTCAGTGTCTCTTGGAGTGAGGGGCCCAAACTGACCCCAGGATTCGAGGTGCAGCCTCCCCAGTGCCCAGCACAGGGGAGCGATCACTGCGCTGGTCTTGTATGTCTGGAGCTCAAATTTAGCCATCATCATCTGTGCTTACAAGAGGGGAGAGAGACAGCAGACAACAAAAATTACAGCAGCAGCAGGTGAAATATTCATGCTGGGATAGTTCTGGATTGCTTTGTTTTGTTTTGACATACTTTTAATTTCAAATGGATCGTTGCAGTGCATTTGGGAGGTGTGGAGGCCATCACACATGTGAAACGAGCACAAGAAAAAGTATTTTCATAGAAGATAAGTGCTTTTTTGCCCTTAAGACAGGCAACTAATAATCTAGCCATTTCTTCCGCTGGTCACCTTGGCGGAATACACATTAGCAGACTGGAAAAACAGATCCCAGGTGTGCAAAAGAATATGAAAGGTTTTGGTGAAGTGTTTGCAGCTGAAAAAAGCTAAAATATTGGGTTGCTGAACTCACCACAGAGATAGACCACAACCCAAGGATGACCGCTGTAGGTGTGCATCCACGCAGCAGTGAAGCAGTTCAGGAGGTTGGTTTTTTCCATATCTGCTGATGCTGATGAGGGAATGAGATGTCACTGGAGACTCCCACAGAGCCACTGTCCCTCATGCCATTTTCTGTAGGTCACGTTGTCCACGATGCCCTCACTTTTTTAAACTGAAGGTGTCAGTAGAGCATTTGATCCAGCTGCTAATGACAGGCGGTGTGTTAATGAAGGTTTACACCCCTTGCATCACTCGGTGTTGTAGGCAGGAAGTATTGTTGAATGGCATGGTATTTTTTAAGAAAAAGGCGGGGGGGAAGGTGTGTTCTGCATAAAGACTGCTAGGATTGTTTTATGGCCCTCCTGAAGGGAGGTAATAAACGGTGGATTTGATGGGTATCTCCATAAGCAGCATTCCGATACTCCTTGGATATATGGAGAGGCCCCAGCATCTTAAGGCGTTGAGCAGTCTTTGGGGAAAACAGTTGTGACTGGGGTTTTGGCACACAGATCAGCTCTGGATCCCCTAAGCACTGAGTTTCCACATCTTTAATCTGCTACTGATTCCTTACGCGTGTTTTTTCTCCTTCTGAACTTGTAAGAAGAGAAGAAAACAGACTTAGGCTATCACCCATCATTTTTTCAGATTTTCTGCCTAAACAGCACCATTGCTCATCCTGCTCTCCGGAGAACCAACTCCAATTTTTGCCTATAAAAAAACCCCTAATTTTCTAAAGGATTCCATGCTGCTGCTTGATGGTTGCGAGTTTCTGCCTAAAATTTGGGGAGAACTATTATTGCTGCTTCTGACAGCTGAAGGAGCTCACTTGTCTTGTCTCAAAGGGGGGCAGAGATAATAGGTGTGAAAATTGTATGGCATTTAGGCCTGTTTTTTTCCAAGTGAGTGGAGAGAGAAAACACTTACCCCAGCGGTTTGTGAAGTCATTCACACCTGAGAAATGCCAATTTTTTGGAAGTAAGTGGGGATGAACATTGCTTCTGTATAGTTTCAGAGTGGCTGTTCAGCATGTGTATGCTCACATGTTTTAATTAGAGCTGAGCAGCGGTCTGCTAATGGAGTGAATTATCATGGGCTAATGGAGTGAATGACACAGGGCGTGTGTTATTCAGGTAGAGGCGTAAGAAGCTGGGGAAGTAAGTTTTTAGTAAGGACCTGGATGAATGAGAAAAGTCCCCAACCCCCTTAGCAGAAATAGTTTTTCCTTAAAGGCTAATGTCACCCTCTCTTTATTGTTAGTGAAGGTGACTGTTCTCGGTAGCATTGCCTGCTGCTCCCTGGGATTGTAGGGAGCTTACGCTGGCAAACTTGTGTATGCCTTGGATGACTAAACCAAAACATCCCTGGGTCTGCTTTCTGGCCATGCTCAAAGAGCTATTTGCAACCCTTGCCTGGATTCACGTGGGAGGTGCTGGAGATGGAAGTCTGGAGGGGAAAGGAAGCGTTTCCATGAGCTCCTGAGGCTGCCATCCTGTCTGATGGCTCTTCACCTGGCTCCTAAGCCATCTCAAAAGTCTCATCTCCCTCTCCTCGCTCTGCAGGCTGCCCGACGTCCTGCCTGCCACTTCAGGCCATCTGTGGGGGTCGCTTTCAGGCTGAAAATGGCTTTCAGGCACTGTGCAGCAAATAGCAGAGAAAGCCCTGGCTTGGTTCAGCTGCACTTCAGAAACACATGGGTTTTCAGGTGGATTCATGGGCAGTTGATTCCAAAGCGGTTTGGGTTTGGGTTTTTTTCCCCCCAGTTCCTTTTGAAATGTTTCCCTTTAAAGAGGAGTGTCTGTAGTTGTGAAAATAAACTTAGCGTAAAGTAATTGCTTTAGAAAGAAGTAAGATCATGCTTTTTGTGCACGAGTGAAGCCCCATGTTTGTGCTTTTGTCCCTTCAGCTGTTCCAAAGACCGAATGCCCTTGCTGTTCAGCAGCTCACGGCGGCGCAGCAGCAGCAGTACGCCTTGGCAGCTGCCCATCAGCCTCACATAGGTAAGTCTTGCACGTGGTACGTTACATTTTACTGGACTTGTGGTACTCCTCAGAGTGCATTAGGAAAATAGCAGGGGAAAAAGGATTGGTAGGTATTCGAGAATCCTAAATACAGTTTTGCAACAGTAATCGACACGCAAGCAGAAGTGTATTGTTTGAAGATTTACTCAAAAAACTGTGGAGGTCTCTGTTGCACACTTGAGAAGCTCCAGAGCATTCGTGTCTGGCAGGAATAACATTCTCACGTTCAGTAACGGGAGTGTTTTGAAGTGCCTGCTTTCTCTGAGTGAGGCATGAATTGGGGTAAGGCGCACAGGGAAGCGAGGGCAAAATGCACGAATCTGTACGAGCCCGAATGTGCGTCCTGTGCTTCAGCTGCCTGGGGTCTGATTTTATGTTAAAGAAGTAAGGTATGCAAGCACATGCTTCATATTATTAAAACCCTATAGATTAACTGGGAAGAAAGCACTCCATCCTGTACATAGAAAAACAAGAGAACTGTAGGAGGGCCGCTCAGGGGTGATTTGAGTGAGACTATCTTTGGGTTAAAGTTTTTACCACAATCAACAGTTTAAGTGGCAGTTCTTCCTACCCAAAAGGCCAATACAAATGTGTTGGGACTCTCCCAGCTCTGTGCGACGCACTTGTGTGCTCACTGGAGTTCAGGGATAGACTGAATTAAAATTCTTTAGCTTTTTAACCTACTCCCCTTCACCTCCCCTCCTCACCCCTCTTCCACCCACCCATACCTTCTCTAATGGTTGAACTGTTTCCTTGTGGAGGAAGGTAATGCCTGCAGGGCAGGGATAGTGCCCTGCCGTGATGGCTGTGCACTCCTGAGCTGCTCCCAAACCAAGTAATCGAAGTACTGGTGTTGTGCAGGAGGCATCAACTTGGGAAGTAGGGTAGATTGGTTCTTGATCAGCTTGCTATAGAAATAGGGCACAGTGCCAAGCAGTCAGGTAATGTTGGTATCTGCCTGGTGTGAATAGCCACCTAACCAGTAGGGGGGTGTATCGGGGCTGCAGATACCTGAGCAAGTATGGGTGTTGTATATAGAGTATTTTACCACTTCAGCTTTCCTCATGGGGCATTGCATCCTTGGAATTGGGTTTCTTTTATGTCAGTGATATCACCTGTGGGTTGTTTCAGTAAGACTAGGGGAAATGAAGTGCTTGCTCACTCCCTGTAGAGAACAACCTGCAAATAGCTTGAAAACACTAAAGCGACCTGAGCTTTTGTGTTTGCCAGCCAGGTAGCCAGAGGTATTTTGCTAGGGCTTCAGTTCTAGTTAAGTTTGTTTTCACTGACAGGTATGTTTTCAGCAGGTTTAGCTCCTGCTGCCTTTGTTCCCAATCCGTACATCATCAGCGCCGCTCCACCGGGAACAGATCCGTACGCAGCCGGACTCGCAGCAGCTGCAACATTAGGTGAGATACTTCCAGTTGTCCAGGTATTCGTGACCATTTTCTGCACCAAAACTGCTCTTCAGTCTGTGACTGTGGAAATAAAACATTAGTACCTCGCAGTTTCTGTGGAGAGAGAACTGTGTATCAGTGAGTTGAAACAGAATTTGTCTTGGAAACCCTGTTTTCTGTAGATGAAATGTGATAATTCTTGTATGACACTTGCTATGGGCTCACTCTCTGTTGAGGATAAACAACCAGAGCAAATCCGAAATTAAACACTTGCAGACATAAGTGTTGCTGCGTGTTTGGGGTTTTTTGGTACCTGACAGTAGTGAGAGATGCGTTTGAAAATACACTTATTAAATGCTAGAAAGTTGGAGGATGTGTTTTCCTGCCAGGAAAGTTGTACCTCCTTGCTGTTTAGCTTAATTTGCTGTAGTGCATCCTGCAAATGATCCTTCCCTTGCAAGAGTCTGTTAAGATTTTAGGCTTTTTAGGTTCTCTAGGTAAAAACATCCCATGTCTGCTGTGAGACTTACACTATGAATATGCAGTTTTCCAGATGGCAAGCAAAGATGGTGGCTCTTGTCTTTGTGCAAGATCTTCCTCCCAAACGTTCATGCATCCGTTTCCAACTTCTTGCCAACTGTCATAGCCAAAATTGTTGTATCTTGAGATGACAGATCGGTAAAACAGCTTATCAGGCAGTGTGAAGAACACATTGTACGTTGAACTTTTGCTGTGTGCGCCATTAAGTTCCTGCCGAAACAGTAAGGACAAAGGAAAAGTGTGCTTTCAGAAGAACGTTTTTATAACCATGCTGTGCTTTCCATGAGCCACCAGGAGAGGAAGCCTTCTACACTGCAAATAAAAACTGCTTGGTTAGAGGAGTGGTGATTTTTAATGGAGCCTGCACACTGTTGCCACCCTCCAATTACAGCTTGTGTTCTCGCTGCAAATCTCTTCCACCGTGGGATAGCTCGTACCAAATCAAGCCATAGGGCGCTTGGTTGTACGTGAGTGCAGCGCTGTGGTTTGGTACGTGACTCTTCGGCCTGTTTAACAGCTCTTACATAACCGCTGCTTAGCTTTTAAGCTTTGAGGCCACTATCAGGTCAAGCTCCGAAATGGGATTTCGGCAACGGTTACTCAGTTGGACGGCATTTTTAGTGGATCGTATGGAAATACCTAAAGAATCAAGATTATAATTTGAAGATGTGGGCTTTGGACTCTTGGGTTGCTGTGAATTTTGTATGCTGATTGCCTAATAACAATGCAAGATTCAGTTTAGGTAACAAGATGATGTTGGCAAACAACTGACGCTGTGATTAAATGGAAGAAAGCCAAGAGCTAGAGTACAAGGATATTTGTAACAGCCCAGGAGTCGATAAACTATCATGTGGTGATGGATGAGTGGCAGGGAATGAATGACCTGAACTCTTGGTGGCGAATATAAGTAGGAAGCTTCGATCAGGACTTAGCAGGGAAGATGAGCTACAACACTCGCAATTCCAGTTACAGTCAGGAGAGGTGCTTTGTAAACGAATATTGTAGGAGGAGGTTTCTGGTTGGCCTTTTTGCAAGACATCAGTGCATCCAAAGCTAGTGCTCATTCTGAAGTAACACTCAAGTTCAGTGGAGCAGGAGGTCAGTGTCTTGGTTTCATAGAAAGACCACCTGTACCTGCCGCCAGAGTTCTCTAGGAAATGGCAAATGTCTTTGCGACATTTTTTTTCCCCCCCATTTTCTCAGCAGTATTGAAGCTGCAGGGGCCTGAACATCTGATAGGGGCCTTATAAATTTGACCTGGGAAATAACATACACCAGGATACCTAAAGCATCCCATAACTTGGCATCAGGATCTCTACTTGAACAATTTTTAAACTTTGACTCTTGAAGGCAAAACAAAGGAATGTGCAATATATTTATAGTGTTACCCCACTGAGAAACCCCGGTTATGTCATCCATCTCGCTGGGCTTTGGACCCTAACACCTAGGAATGGCAATATAACAACCTTCTGGCTGATGTTTGTTTCAAGAAAAGCATCTTTTCTTTCGAGACTTGAGCAGTTTTGAAAGCCTTTTCTCTAATGACTGAGTGCAGCACTGAAGGGCCATGGGACAACGGAAAAGTTCAGGGTTAGGTATCTAAGTGAGGAGGCCTCCCTGGTGTGTATGGGAGTGTTAAATTAAGAGAACTTGGAGAAGTTTATGAGATGGAAGAAATGAGTTTAGAGTTGTTGGTTGTATATGGCTCACAGTTACTCTTGGAGCAGAGGGGAAACTTTTGTGTGTTTTATGGCAGAGATAATTCTGTCAATTAAGATTCTGCCATTATGGCAGCTTTTTCATGATTGTAAGACTGTGACAATACCCTTTTCTTCCTAACAGTAGTAGCATTTTAAAGAACAAATTTGAATGCAGAGGGAAGGGCTTCCTAGACTCAAGAAAAAAACCACTTGTGAGTTTAAACTGTGGGGAAGATACTGCCGTCTGTAAACAGTGTTGTGAAATTGCCTTCTGGTGTTTGGGAAAGATGTCCCTCAAAGAACAGAAATCTTGCCTTTTGTAAGACAAGTTGGGAAATGTCGCTACCCTCTGAGGTGGTGTGTTACAGCTAGAAAAGTGTTTCTGTTCTTTGTAGAGAAGGGGATGCTGGAATAATCTGCGTCCAGGAGAAACACAGTGCTGCTGGACTGAAGGGGGGGTCGGTTTGGATGTGTCTGCACTGAGCTTCTCAAGCTGGGTTCCTTAGCAGCCTCGTTCACTCAGTGCCACACGCCGGGCCAGCTCAGGGTGGGTGACAGGGGTGGCTGCGTGCACACACCGCCGAGGCCTGGGCTTTGGGGAGCACGTGCTGCCGGCTCTCCCCCCGCTGCCTGCGCACGCTGTCGGGCAGGGCTGCCTCTCGTCTTCCCCATCGGTGCTGGCCCCAGGCACTCTGCGGCTGGTTGGCGTGGGGCTGCACCGGGGCTGTTTGAGTTCAGCTGTGCCTCACCTCCATCCCTAAATCCTGCACTTCATGGGGATCTGTCGTTGCCGTACCGGAATGGCGAAGCGTAAGGAGATAGGATTTGATGAAGGTGCTATTTGCAGCCTGGCCGTTTCAGAGGTGGGGCTCTGGAGGCTCTTTAACCCCCTCTAAGCCCTCATCCTTGGCAAGAGGGGGCTGGCTGTTCCTGCAGACAGCAGGTATGCCTTCTGTTTACAGAGATTTCAGTGTGAAGGCTGAGATTAAAAGTAAAAACTTCATTACAAACACACTTACAGATGGTTTTGTTAATGTTTCTTGAAAGGAATATTTGTGGATGACTGTCGCCAATGTGTGAGACATAGTAGTGGGAATATTTGATTTCAAAGGCACTAGAATGGCTTTTATTTTCTTGTGTATGTGTGTCTTTAATAAGTGTAAAAGCAGGTGCAATATCTCCTGAAGTAAAGAAACACTCTGCATGTTGCTGTAAGTCTGGCAATGATGACACACTTGCCCTCACTGAGAACACTGTTCAATAATGAGCCTTACCATGTGCTCAAATGAGCTGAGCCAGACTTGCAGCTCTTGTAAGCCCAGCTGCCTGCAGACTTCAAAGACTTTGTGTTTCCTCTTCTTTTAAACACCTACGGCTTTTGCAGATCTAATGAGCCACCTCTAAGTAGGAACTCCACCCCACCCCACATCTAGACTATGCTTGTTTGATAATTAGAACTGAGATTAAAAAAAACCCAGAGATGCCCACATTTTCATAGAATCATAGAATGGTTTGGGTTCGAAGGGACCTTAAAAATCATCTAGTTCCAACCCCCCTGCCATGGGCAGGGACACCTTGCACTATACCAGGTTGCTCACCCAGCCTGGCCTTGGACACTTCCAGGGATGGGGCATCCACAGCTTCTCTGGGCAACCTGTCCCAGTGCCTCCCCACCCTCTGCGGGAAGAACTTCTTCCTGATATCTAATCTAAACCTCCCCACTTTCAATTTAAACCCGTTCCCCCTTGTCCTGTCACTACAGGCCCTTGTAAAAAGTCCCTCCCAGCTTCCTTGTAGCCCCTGTCAGGTACTGGAAGGTGCTCTAAGGTCTCCCTGGAGCCTTCTCTTCTCCAGCCCAATTCTGTCAGCCTGTCCCTATGGCAGAGGGGCTCCAGCCCTTGGAGCATCTCCGTGGCCTCCTCTGGACTCGCTCCAACCGGTCTATATCCTTCTGATACTGGGGGCTCCACAGCTGGACGCAGCACTCCAGGTGGGGTCTCACCAGAGCAGAGTACAGGGGCAGAATCACCTCCCTCGACCTGCTGGCCACACTTCTCTGGATCCAGCCCAGGATACGGTTGGCCTTCTGGGCTGCCAGCGCACACGGCCAGCTCATGTCCAGGTTTTCATCCCCCAGCACCCCCATTTTGCCCAGAAAAAGGGTATTGCTGTAACTTCCCAGTAGCCAAAGGGCAAACACAGACCAACTATTTGCATAAAATGGAGCAGTTGCAACTGTTTTCTTGTTGAGTGCAGAAGCTGCCTCGCAGTTGGCATCGGGTCTGCACTGACTGAATATAAACAGGTTATAGTCCACTGATTAGCTACGTCTCTGTAAGTACTTGGGGCAAGATAAGCAATGCCATTGTGGGTCTCATTCATTTTCTGCAGGTTTCTTCATTTCAGCTACCACTGCGCATGAATTTTCAGCTGGAATGTAAGAAACAAGTGGTTGCTGCTCCAAGACCAGTCTGAGTAAGACAGACAAGTCACCTCCTCTGGCTGCCAGTACACGGCACATGCAGCAAGGGTGGGTTTAACCTCGGCTAGCAATTCAGTACCACACAACCACTCGCTCACCTCAGTACTGTTCTCACACATCAGTACTCTTCTCAGGGCAAATCCAAAACCAGCCTCATACCAGCCACTCTGAAGAAAATCAACTCTGTCCTGACCAAAACCAGCACATCGGTGCTAGACAACAGGCTACGTGTAACATCTCCCTGCTGTAGATAAAGCTGGAGGTGTGTGTTAATCACTACAAAATCCTAAATTTGGGGAAAGTACAATGGTGA